GGTTTCCCGCCTGCTCGAACTGCTCGAAGCAGGCCGGCTGTTAAATAGGAAAATGGCAGAATCAGGAGAGTGTTCCCCTGTGTGCGGTGGGAAGGGTTGGGTCGAGAAAATGACGGTTATAATGCTTGATTGTGCTGCAAGGGGAAAGAGAAGAATGCTAGAATTGATTATTCGTCGCTTCTTTATATTGATTGAGGACGGTGGCTTTCTGTTACGTAGCCGTGTTTGCATGAAACATCGATATGGTCTGATGCCTCTCTCTGTTACGCAGCTGTGTTACGCATGAAAAATCGATATGGTATGATGTCGCTTCTCCGTAGTTGTGTTCGCATGAAAACTCGGACCCCGATCTGCCTTATCGGAGCAGGGTTGTAGCACGTGGCGTGTAACCCTGATCACTCTCCCCTGTCTTTTCGATCAGTTGACTTTTTGTCAACATGCATTAAATAACTATAGTAATAGGGTTACTAATTTTCCCACCACTTCACTATCAGAGTACTATAAATTGATTAATAGCACAGATACTCTGATATGTGAATAATTAATAAAACCAATGTTTGAAATTTCACTACTCTCATGAGAACAGTGCAATGGCTGTAGGTGTGTATACATACTTTGATCACATGACCGATCGATAGGTTACGCACCTCATCTGACGATCTGCATCTGAGATGCGTCAGCTGCAAGGCACAACATATATATAATATTTATTTAGTATACATTTTTAAAAAATCATTTCTAGTGGCCAAAAATTATTATCCCGAAACATGCTTTGGATGCATAAAGTGTCTTTTTGTACGTACAACTTTTAAAAATATATTCCAAAAAAAAAAAAATTATACTAAAGTTCCTTATGCTTTTACTTTGAAATTTCATGATTCTATCAGCAATAAACAAATTAATTTTCTAGAATCGAATAATTCTTATAAGATTGAATTTGGTGCAACTTTTGAATTTTTTTCTAGCTCATCATGCAGTAGTAAATTTTATCGGGCTAAAAAAGAAACAAATCTTAATAACATACAATTAAATTCTTTACATGATAAAAGGACAAATTATATTTCTACAAGAGATACTAAATCTAGTATGTCACAAAATAATGAATTACAACTTCTATCTCTGCAAAAAAAATGTTAAAGAAATCGGCAATCAATCATCGATTGATTTTTTTTTTGATCTGCAAGATTCACAAACCCTGAAACCGCAATTAATTAACTGCATACATGTATTGTAAACTTAGCCAATCAAATTAATTAACACGTGACTACCAATTTACAAAAGTCGATTTAACTAGTCGATTAGAAATTTTTGCCGATTCGGCGATACAACTAATATCGTTAGAGTAACGGTAAATTATATATTAATCATAAATTAGTTTTAAACTATTTTTTGGTCTATACATATTTTAAAACCGGGTTTATATTTTGATTTGTGAAATTAAAAATTATATTTATGTTACATAATGAAAATTACATACGATAATGGTTACAATACGTGCTCTAAAGGCAAACAGCAGAAATAAGAAGTAAATATCTGGACTTTTTAAGACACTCAAATAGCTGGAGATCTGCCGGAATATTTCTCCGTAGTGGGAGATCACGCTACTTCACAGCTGCTCTTATAAATTTTAGAACAAATTAAAAATTTGTTCTACCGCAAAATCCCGACATCCAAAATCACCGTCAGGTCAAAATCCCTAAAATCCTAATATGACATCGTATTGTCGGTTTTAACCTGATGGGATATTGGTACTTTCGGGATTTTGATTTTCGAGATTTTGAGTGTCGGGATTTTGGATGTTGAAATTCTGTGGTAAAAAAAAAATTTGCTCGTTTCTTGAAATCTCTTCAGTTTCGTCCTAAAGGTCACCTAACTCTTCGGAACTCAGTTTGGAGATAGTGATGTAATTTTCCGAAGAGTAAGGTGACCAATGAGATTTCGGAAAATGAACAAAATTTTTAGTTTGTATATAATTTATGAGAACAACTGTAATCAGTAAAAAAAAAAACGACTGAGAAATAACAAGCGTTACTTGAAATTTGGTTTCCAACTATATAATTAGAAACGTGAAATAATGTATCATTTTTTATGATGCTTTTTCTGGCAAGACCGAAATGTGGGACAGGTTAGACTAAATGATTATGAGTTGAATTTTTTTCATTGTCGATAGCCTGTCACACATTCTGACATGCCTTTTTTGGAACCAAAATTAATCGTATCGAGTTTTGAAAATTAATAAATGTATTGGGTTATTTATTTTCATCTTTATAAAATAATAAAGAGCTAAAATTTTTCATAATGAATCATTATTCACATATTAAGAATAAAAAAATATTTTATACACCAATCAAGAATCTAAGTGAACTTGAAAATCTTGCATTTTACGATCATCAGCTTTATGATCATGCGTTTAATGGCAGTATAAGCGCTCCAGTTCATGAAAAACTGCGAACTGGTGCTAAAGTATTAGAATTTGGGTAAAAGAATTTCTTTTTTATTTTGAA